AGCCCAGCGGGTCAAGGCTGCAGTGGCCGGGAGCGGCCACTGCACTACAGTCTGGGTGACAGAGTGAGACTCCAACTCAAAAAAGAAAAAAAGAAAGAAAGAAAAAAAAAAAGAAAACAGGTGATTAACAATGTCACACACACAAAGACAACACACATTATTAATAGTAAATATTAAACAAAATACTTATCTTATTTAAGCAATGAAAACAATCTCACAAATGTCACCAAAGAAAGATTTTCTTAAGTATAATTGCTTAACTGTCATATTCAATTATAACTAGTTGTAGGAAATTTTCCTTTATGTTAGCTAAGTATGGAATATATGTTTTCTTGACTTCTACTTTCAAAAGGATATTACTTCAGGTTGTAATTTCACATCACATTTGCTGTTTAATTGCTCCACATGAGAACTATTCCTGCAAAAAGAGCATTGGCTTCTAAAGAGATGGTTTCACTGTTTATAAATGTGTTCTGTCTTTTCCTCTGAGGAATGTAATTCAAAATGACAGTATAGCAAAAAGGTCTTCACACAGAGACATGTAAAATTTCAGGGTGAATAACTTTCCATACATTTAAAATGTGAAAACCTCTTTTAACTCATGATTCAAAAAATTTTTCACCTATTATAATTTCAGACAATTGTCCAAATATTTATGTAATATAAGCGGAAAATAATTTGATCACAGTAATCTCCTTGATAATGTCTTCTGACCTCCGATTTCTCTGTTTATGAGTGGTAACAATTCAACATGAGCCATGATTTCTTTTTTTTTTAAAGATGTGTTTTAAGGTTTTTGAGTGGCAAGTAAAATAATATAATAACTTTGTATTTAAATATGACATAAAGCTAGAAGGACTTGAACTTCAAAGTTAAAAAAAACTGTCATTTAACGTTGTTGATCTTGGATAAATTATTTATTCTCTATAAGCCTCAGTTTTCTTAAGGCTAAAATGTGGAAAATATTTATCTCACAGCATTGTGTGAAAAGGAAATAAGATAGGAGTGATCAATTTCCTGACCCAGTGTGTAAATGCTTTAAGAGTCCCAATGCCCTTCTCCTTCACCTTTTTTTCCAAATGGGCGTCATCTACTTACCTTTAGATCTATGGATTCAATTGAATAGATACCAAATAAGCCCACATCTTATTCAGATCCTCTTTATCTGACAGTGATTTTCTTGTTTCAATAGCACACCCTCTTGGTTCCCTAAAATACCACAGTTTCTCTCCCATTGAGTCATGTCATGCCACTGTGCTCCAGCCTCTTTCTCCGGGTCCCTGCCCAAACTTCTAAGAATCAGCCTTCTCTCATACCTATAAGGATTGTATTTTTCCACTTGTAGTTTAGTAGCCCTCTGAAAATCCTCACCATCATCCATATAAATAAAGATATTAACATCACTTAGAAATATACTATTTGCTGTTTCCCACACTTTAAACTGAACATATTTTGTCTTAACAAAACCCGAAACTGGACTCAAGTTCACAACACCACTTGTTTGTATATAAGCAAAATAATCTCTCAGTCTATCCTCACCTAGCCATAGTTTGTCACACTTAAGTTGTTCAAAATGGAGTGCTTTTAGAATTGCAAACACATTCTGTAATAATACCAAATGCATGACTTGTTTCACCTATTATATATTTATTTATATTTTTTCTGTTTCCCTAAATAGCGAAGAAAAGTAAAAGTATTGCTCTAACACTCTTTGTTACTAATCATAACATAAACCATTTGCCATATATTCATTTGTAAACGTAGAATTATTTATTTTTTATTAATTATTTTAATTGCAAAACAGCAATTGTGTATCTTTATCATGTACAACATGCTTTGAAACTTCTATGCTTAGTGGAATGGGTCAATTGAGCTATCCAGCTATGCATTAAAGTAAAATAATTTCTAATTGCATCTTGTATAACATTTAATCACTAGACTTTCTGATCACTAAGTAAAAACATTTCCCTTCAGAATGTATAAGTAGATGACTTTAAGAAAAATGTGATAAAGTAGTAAAATATGGAAAAAATATAAGCAAAGGAGTACAATATTCATTTAGTTAAATATCCTAAGTTTTATATATTTTAATAGATGAACTCATAAACTCTCCTGGAATGAGAAAATGAAGATCATTTTGTTTTGTGTTTTAAACTGTTTTTGCAAATGAGTACCTAGAGATTTAATCAAGATTCTTATAAAACCGGGAATAGAAACATGCAGCCTCTGTATTCTAAGTCCTAGCAATACTGAAATAATTCTTGAAAATGCATCAGGAATGAAAAAGTTACCGATTGGTGTTAAATGTAATGTTGCAGAAGAAAACTAGGTGCAACACAAGTGGGAAGAACTCATTATCAATAGGAAACAGAGTTGTGGAGAAGATACAGGTGTGAATCATTCTATTATCATAAAAACTATAGCAATTTTCACCCATTACAAAACTGAAATGAAATAACTAGTCAGAACTAAAATAATATAAATAACATCAACATTATCAGATATACAAAAATATTTGAAAATTGTTTAACACATGTAATTGCAGCATAGAAGACACAGAATTCTAGTGCGTTATATCATATAAACATATATGATAGCATATTATTTATAAATACGAGGTCTTAAATTACAAATTACATCAGATTTTGCAGGTATGTAATATTATTAATTTAATAAGCTATTAAGGTAAGATCACAACTTATTGTGACTATCTTACTTTAATAAAAATTGGTAGTATAAGATCTGTTCCTCATCTATTATTATCTTCTATTAAAGTAACATTGGGCATGATTCATTAAAAATTTAAATTCTGAAGACATGTAATTTTTAATCAATTAGTTTCTTCTTCCTAAAGACCAAAAGTTTCTGGAAAATTATTTTAATTTCCATAGTATTCCATAATATAATAGGTAATTTTTAGAAGTTGCACTCATAGACTTAGGAAATATAACATACTTTTGGGGAATCGAGGTGGATTGTCATTGACATCTGTGAGAGTGATGTTGACTATTGTTGTTCCAGCTAATCCTCCTAGTTGTCCTCCCATATCCTTGGCTTGGATGAGTACTTGGTATTGTTCTTTGACCTCTCTGTCCATGTTTGGCAAAGCTGTTCTAATAACACCTAAAAGAGAAAAAAAATAATAATGTAATGTAAATATCACAAGGATTGTGCTCTCATAAATAAAATAATTTGCAACAATAGCAACATGATTTTATCTGGATGCACTAGCAAAGACATGCCAGCTAAAATTCTGTCTTTTTAAAACGTTAAGCACTCAAAATATCCAATTATTCAGATATAATTTAATATATAATGGCAGCCACATCATAAAATGTCATACAGCAGTGAGGAATATGGTTAAATATCAACATATCAGCTTAAAAAATGATTATTCTTCATTGTCAATGAACTTGTACATAATTTACACTCATGAATATATTATTTAAAAATTGCTAAAGACTAGAAATAAAAATATACATACTAAAAATTTTAAGTGGTTAAAGTGAATATGTAATTTTCAATGATTACTATTTTCTTCTTCACTTATATATTATCTAAGGAAAATATACTACCTTATTTGTTAAAGGCATAAAAAAAATCGTTTGTGCATATTTTATTTTGTCTTTCAGAATTTCTCTTAGTTATACTAGTAATAGATTTTTCATCAAGATTCTCCAGCACCAGGACAATACCTTCCATTGGGAATGAACACAGTAGGTATGTGCTGACCAATTAACTAAATGAATGACTGGCTGAATAAATAAATGAACTTATAAACAATTAAAGTTATATTCAAAATTTTTACAATATATATGCATATTTACATTGTCTTCTCTTTCTGTTCTTGTGCCCAAGCATAGAACTACTTGTATTTACATTTATTCATAGTAGAATATCTAAAACCTTCTTTATTCTTATCAAATAAAATCATGAATAAATTTTATTTCAAATTTCAATCTATAGTCAATGGTTTAAGGGAGAGATTGGCAGTATTTGTCTTAAACCGACATGGCTTTGACAGTGCTTTTTTCTTAAATAAAATGGCATATATGAATAACAAAGATAATATCAGCCATCAACACAAACAGATAGAATCCAAATCAGAAACCCAATATACATCCCTATATTTCATTTGTATTTTCTGCTATCAACTTACCAAATGCTGTTTCACTGCAATTCAGACTTAATTACAATATGGGATTTCTTCTGACCCTTAGCAGGAAATTGTTGCAAAATATACAACCTCCATTTTTGCCACTGCTGCTTTATTCATGAATTGGTACTGACACATTTTTTATTCAATCTATTTATCCTCTCTTCAGCTCAGGTTCCTGATACTTCATTTCCATGTCTCTTAACTGAGGTTCTTTGTTTCTACATCTCAGTATGCCATTGCCTACAGACCTTAAGTTACATGACTTCTACCTAACTGACCATGCTTATATTTTCTAAATAAATACTCAGGGTTGATTCATATACATGATGTCATGTCCTGTTGATAATCCAGATCTATCTTAACCCATATTCATTCTCAATATATAAGTGATATATTTTTCTTTATTCATTTCCAATATAAAAATTTTCAATATGAAATTTAGTCGCACATGAGAGAGTTGTGGAGTTATTTATTTCTGTTTATTTGCTGACCACTGAACAAAACTATCTTCTTGGGTCAAATTAAAACTCTCAAATGAAATTTTTTAAAAAGAGAGATTAAATAACATTAGACTTATTTAAGATCTTACGCATATGTATTTTTTTCTGGTGATTCATGAAAAGTGACAAGAGCCTCTCCAGTACCCTCACTGCCCTGCCCTCCTAATCTATCCCGTGTCAGATAGGTAACTTGTCTGCTGCTTCCTGTCTCCCTCTTAAGGCAATGCTGCTCGACTAGAAGGCAGAATGTAGAATTTAGAGAGAGGAAATTCAGAAAGAAGAAGCAATGTATACCTTGTTTGAAAGATAACTTTCTAGTGATGACCAAGATTCATTGCAATAGAATTTATTTCTAAATATAAGTCTGAAATAAATTTATTTTTTTGGAAAAAAGATAGATATATTGTATCTTAGTATGATTGGAGTATCATGTACCTAAATAATTTTTCATCATAATCAAGACAAAGTAAAAGCAAATTGAGAAAAATATTCAGTCAGATATTACTTCTGCTAACATCAGTGAACACATGTTGTTGAGAAAGATATAAATTTAAAATAATTGTAAATGGATGGAAGGCTGCCAGAACATATTTTCCCTCTGTAATTATCCTCATGTTGTCTGCAAACCCCTCAATCGTGATAGGTGGCAGCTGAGTTTGTAGAAGTAAGCTAAATATTCCAAAGATGACATTTTGAAATGAAAATAATGCAATACTATATGGAAATAATTTTTTTACTTTGTCAAGTTCTCACTCTGTAACTCAGGCTGGAGTGCAGTGGGACAATGACAGTTTACTTCAGCCTCAGTCTTCTGGGCTCAGGTGATTTTTCTACTTCAGCCTCCTGAGTAGTGGGACTACAGGCATGTGCCACCATCCCAGCTAGTTTTATTTATTTATTTTATTTTTATTTTTCCTTTTTTTTTTTTGGAGAGAAGTTCTCACTATGTTGCCCAGGTTGGTCTTGCACTCCTAGGTCATGTAATCTTCCTGCCTTGGTCTCTAAAAGTACTGGAATTAGAGGCATAAGCCACCACGCCTGACCAAACAAAAAAGTATTAAAATATTACATGTGATAATCCAAGATATGATTTTACATGAGTTATTTCTTAAAATAAGGGATAAATTGCAGGACTGAGACACAGGAAAACAGATTCGGTTAGCACCTGGATCAAAATATGTGTTAGTCAGTTGTTGTCTGGACTGAGGGTATAGTGGTGAACATTTTTCATTTGCCATTCCAGATCTACTTTGTAAACCTTTCTAGACTTTTGCTATCTTTGGCTTCTCATTGGTGAGTATAAGAATGAGCTTGGATTTTCATTCCCAGGTTTCTCCCACATTCCATTCTGTCTCCTGCCAGGGTCCCTCACAAGACATTGCATTAGTCTCCAGACACCCCCATTCTTTCAGTTTTAATGTGGTAACCACACCCTCTTGTTAGTTCTTTTCCAGGCACTGCCCTATCCTTTATAGTTTTCCTAGAGTTTGCTTACACCTCAGTGAACAGTCCTTTTATTTAACTAACCTCAAGTTGCCCCATGAGTACTATCTGTTTCCATCTGGTATGATCATTGATACAGTCTCGGTACTAGTTTCTTTCACAGAGTCTGCATTAATGGGTGTGTGTTCATGGAAGTGGGGAGCTGATCAAAAAGAAGCTCATAAATAATTAAACTCATTTTAGAGGGTGGTGAGTGTTATGATAGAAATAAAATCAGGTACATTTGAAGTGGTGTCAGAAAAGTTCTCTCTGAAGAGAGGCTTGAAAGCTGAACTCTCAGAGCAGTGGGTGAGGCAGACCTGGAAACAACAGAGGGAGGAGCCCTCCAGGGACAAGAAGCCACTACTTCAAAGCTTGCAGGATGAGCCCTCTGTGGGTGATGTGGATACAGCCCAGCCAATGAGGGAAGGACATGTGAAATGAGACAGAGGGGCAGAGTGGAGGTAAGGCTGTGGTTTTCAAAGATAAATAAATCCTCTGGGAAAACATCTTGAAAATTATAGGATCACTATTGGCTGTCACAGATATAAGGTATTCTGCTGACATCTATTTTGTGACAATCAGGAATGCAAGTACAATTCAGAGGACAGTTCTACATAATCCCAAACTCTTTCAGATGTCTTGCTGTAACTTGAAATGGGTTAACTATTATTATTGTTATCTGAGACTACTTAAAGAGCGAAAGAGTGAGAGGGAGAGAGAGAGAGAGAGAGAGAGAGAGAGAGAGAGAGAGAGAGAGAGAAGAGAGAAAAAGAGAGAGGAAAGGAAAGATTCAATAGATAGAGATGGGGAAGAGAGAGAGAGATAGACTGTTTCTTTTCTTTCATGTTCAGCAATGTAGCAACTGCATAAATCGTAAGGAGACTGACTTATCTAAGGTGTGGCTATAGTGATCATTTCAGGAGAGATAAATTGATTCCTACTCTAGGACCCATCAAACCATTTCACATGAATAAATATGTTTAAAGCTGGTATTGATTCAAATAAGTGACAAGTTGGAAGGGGATCATTTTAATAATGCAATTCACAGAATTATTGTTACCTTATCCCTATAAACAGAATGAATAAGAATTGAGAGACTCCAACAAGTAATGCCTTCTCCCCAGTCATCACCCCCTAACAGTCAGTTTTTGAAAGGGGACCATTTCAAGTTCACACCTCGGAGTGCTTAATCTCTACTTATTCCAACCACGTCAGATGAAGTAAACCCTATGCTTCTCTTCCCATGCCTACTCTCTCTGTTCCTTGTGAATGCTTGCCCAGATGGTGAATATCTTCCTATTTTTCACTTTACTCACTTTTTTCTTTCTGTGAAGCCATTTCTAACTCACTGCACAGCTCTAGGAAGAAATAATAATATCCTACATACGATTCAATCACAGTGGGTAGAATGTTTTGTTGCACTTGCTTTTTTGCCTGTATTTCTTCAACAGACTAAAATCTACTAGAACACAGAAAGAAGACCTGTTGTATTTTTGTTGTTGTTTGTTTGCTTGCTTTTATTCATGGAATTTTGTCGATATCTGTACCAGAGTCAACCTGTTTTCCTGTTTCCCCTTTCTTAACACAGCTATATGTTACTCTTTCACCTATATGCACCCTAATTATTATTTTTAGTTCATGTGATATTTATTATTTGGACTTTTTTCTTCCTTTTTATTCTACTGCCTAGGAATATGAAAATAAAACAAAAACAAACGTTTAAGGAAGAACATATTCTTTATCCTCATCTGCTGCCCATGCACTGAAGAACCCATTTCCATTGATTTACTCCCCCACCCCATAGTTATTTTATTTCGCAAGAGAGAGTTTTAGCAAAAAAAAGTCCCATTTACAACTCATTCCTTTCTTATTTTGGAGCTAATTGCCTAGGGAGGCAATTCCAGACTGTATTTCAATAATTGTGAATAGTATGGAAGAAGAAAATATTTTTTTGCAGTTAGCCTCATATATGATGTAAG